TATCGTAAAGATGTATAATCAACAAATAATTGGAAACAAACAAAAAATGAGTAGAAATGATTATTGGTGGGGTGAATTTTCATTCTTTTCAGTGTCCATGATTATTGGCTCTTTTAAGTGTTGGTGGGACAACAAGTTCGAAAGATAATCTCTGTAGAATCAATGCTAATATTGTCTAAAATGTCGTTTCATTTTACACAACTGACAAGTTGATTTCTGACTTCACCAGATAAAAAGATTTGAGTTTTGTATAATGATTAGGACTCGTTTCATCTGCCTAGGACAAGTTTACTTGGCAACACCCCTTGAGGTTCTAGAATTAGAGCTTGTGCAGGATAAGAGGAGCACCGAACTGTGGGTGAATGGTAATGACTGTGTAAGGTGCATGAACATAGAAGGCGATAGCTCAAAGGAGAATCTCTGTAGAATCAATGACATTGCCATCTTTGCCTCCAACAGAGCAAAATTCTGACCAATGCATATCCTTGGTCCCCACGCGAACGGAAAGAAGGAGACTTGTCCCTTTGTTGCCTTTGAGAGACTGTCTTTGAATCTCTCAGGATTGAACTCCACTGCATCGTTGCCCCATAGGTCAGTGTCGCGTTGGACTAGCAGAATAGGTAGATTGACCTGAACTCCGCCCGGTAATGTCAGAACTCCTAGCGTCATCTCTTTGTGAACGGTTCGCGTCAGCTGAGTTTGTGGGAGGACACAGCTTAAAAGTACCGAAGTCACCTAAAAACTTGCCTAAAAGATCAAAACTATAGATCATTCGAAGAAGACAGGCATGAGGTGAAGCTTTGGGAAAAGACAAGATTTGTGATTTAGCTTTCTCTGTGATTCGGTCGCGCAATGAAAGGACGACTAATCCAAGAACCATGGCGTTTTCCATCACATAGCTCAACACTGATAGTTAAAGCTCCTGCGTATCGAAATCCCTGATTTGCACGACTTTGAGCATTGTTCTAACGCAGTCCGGTGCTGTTCCTGAAGGAAATTCATTCAAGATCTCTGAAGGAGGTGTTGAACGAGAAGGCCTCAGGTCCTGGTGGATTTCACCAGCCAAAAGCAAAATCAAAACAAGAGATACGATAAGAAAGTCGCAACATTTCGATATAATTTCTACTTATATGGACTTACATTCGATATAATTAGTAGTACTTACCTGGAGTACAGTGTGGATTTGAGGAAGTTTCTGAATGTGTAATCTTGTGTCATGTAGTATCTCAAATGCAGCTAAACCAATTGTTTGAATATGGGCACTTCGGTTACTTCAAAATCCTTGCTAAGCTAAGAAAGAGACCGCAATAATAATTTAGTGGGAAGATGCTCCATCGAAAAGGTTTGAACAAATTCAGTGGGAAGATGAAATGTAACTAACCTCGAGAGCCAAACTTTGGAAAAGACAGAAGAATCGTTTGGGAACGGCCTTGCGAGAATATGATTCTCTCAAGCTTTGAAGCTAATACCCTGACCGTACACACTCCAGAATCATTCGGTACATATTTAGAGCTACACTTGAACATCTCAAAGATCTTAAGTAAAGGAGAATCTATAATTACGGTATCGGTTCCAAAGCAGTAGCAATAAAGTTTCCAAGACAGGAAATTTCAGAAGGAGGTTCTTGGAGATGGAAGACACGTTGAAGATATGTCAAGAATGCTCTTTGTACGAAGTCTCAATTCCACGAGAGAGCCAAAACTAGCAAAGAGTGGAGAAACATGGACGCTTTCAAGACATGTCC